GAGCTGGGGCTGAGGAGACCAGAGGAGAGGAGAAATAAGGAGAGAGGAGACGATATGAGAGAAGAAATGAGGAGACAAGAAATGAGGAAAGGAGAAATGAGCAGAGGAGGAGAGAAGTAAGTAGAATAGAGGAGAAAGAAAGAAAAATGTGCAAGGAGAGGAGAAATAAGGAGATAGAATAACATACAACAGGAGAAATGAGGAGAGAAAAGGAGAAATAAGTAGAGTAGAGGAAAAATAAGGGTACAGAAGAAGATATGACAGGAGAAATGAGGAGAGGAGAGTGTGTGAGAGTGTTCAATAAGAGGATGAGCAGAGGGAGGGAGAGAACGGGGAACATTCAGTTGAGTGAAGGACGGAGGAGGATCTACACAGAGGTGAGCAGTACAGTGCAGGAGTAACGCAGCAGGAGCAGTGTGTGTGTTTATTTGAACAGGTCTAAGAGTGTGTTGTGTTTCCGTGCTCTCTTCTCAAGTGTCTAGGTGTGTGCTGGATCGCATACGCCTGACAACACCAGCACTGCAGTAAAACAATAGCCACAACAACTCGACCTTTACCCGCGGATCATAACACCTCACTAGAGAAATAATAGTGCAGTCAGCAGGACATCATGGCGGTTTACCTTTAACCGCATACACACTGCTCAGAGGGATCATAACATCTCAATCTGTCTTACAAACACACACACACGTTTTGTTTTGTCTATCACACACTGTTTGTAAATGAGAGAGTTGTCTGTGGTCAGGAAGTCGCTCTACAAGGTCTCGTTATGCACATGATCTTCTTTGCTGTGCGGACTCACTTTCTCTCTCACTGTGTGGAAACTAGAAATAGTGTATTTCTATTTGTGTCAAGCTGCTCATTCAGTACAGCCCAGATAAACATTTACAGTAATGCCTAATTATACTTTCCAAGTTTAGCTCGGGATAAAGAATAATGACAAACTGTCTTCCATGTATGGAGTATGTAAGCTATACAATACTTAAGCAGTATGAGAAGGTTTTTATGCTTTAAATAATCCGCTATTTGTAGGATAAGCTTGTGTGTTGGTTGTATGTTACCTAGGCGACAGCAGCATCAGTGGGCGGGGCAGTGGGCTGTCTGGGTGTGGGAGTGGCTCTGTATTTCTCTCCCCCTCTGGCCCCGCCCCTCTATCCTCCTGATTGGCCAGCAGCAGGTCTGAAGTGTTGTTGCTCTCACCGAAATCCTCAAAGTGCTCCTCCTCTCCTCCAATCACGGCCACGAGGGTGTGGCCATTCAAATCAGAGCCCAAAGTGAACCTATCACAGAAACACATGGAATATAAGGTGTCATCTGCACATATTTCATTAAAGGCTGTTGAAAATACCAAGCAAATATAAACATTTTCTTTTCACCATTGTTTCTATATTTGAAACAATGGTAAAAGCTTGTAGCAAATTAATAAATTAAAATACATTTTTAGTTTTGTGGCCATAAATCGAAAAATTAATCTCAAATGTTTGGGGTTGGTAAGAATCTTTTTTTTTTTTTTTATGATTTTAAAAGATGTATCTTATGCTCACAAAAGCTGAATTTAAAGACAGCAATATTGTAGAATATTATTACTATTTGAAATATGTTTTAAAATGTAATTTATTCCTGTGATGCGAAGCTGAATTTTCAGCATCATTACTCCAGTCTTCAGTGTCACATGATCTTCAGAAATCATTCTAATATGCTGATCTGCTGCTCAAGAAGCATTTCTGATTATTATCAATGCTGAAAACAGTTTAATCTTTTTTGTGGAAACTGTGATTTTTTCACATTGGATTTCACATTTTTTTCCGGATTCTTTGATGAATAGAAAATTCAAAAGAACAGCATTTATTTGAAATAGAAATCTTTTATGACATTATAAATGTATTTACTTTCACGTTTTAATGCATTCATTTAATGCACCCTTGCTAAATAAACATTACTTGCTCAAAAAAAAAATGTTGAATGGTACTATACTGTATATTTCATCACTAGAAGCTTATTTATGTCTAATTTACCCTTAATTCACATATAATTTAGCACAAGTTTTACATAAAGTCTTAAGTAAAGTCTTAAGGAAAAATCATAAAATTTTCAAATGTAAACATATTTACAGTGTCTCTGAACAGTAAATTGAAATTCTAAAGATATTAATGTCTGCTTTTTTTTATTCCTACTATAAAAATATACAAAAACTCCCTTGAAAAACATCCTTGTGTTTTTGTATGTGAGGCAGAACTTGATCAGTTTGTCTTTAGGATGATAATCTGATAATTCACTTTAATCTCTCAGCAGGCCTAAAAACGGCTGAAGAATACCAGAAAGATTATACAAAGAACAGCACAAACCCTAAAGAATCCACACAAAAACAGCCCAATGCCAGTGTTTTCAGAAGTGCTCATGAAGACGAACAGACTCAAAGTACGATAGTGATCATAAACAGGTCACATGAAAACTCACCATTAATGATGAAAAACATCACAAACCACGCTTTTAAAGTACATTTATTGCATTAAGTGCATCATTCAAAAGATTTAGGGTTAGAATTTTTTAATCAAAGAATCATGAAAAAAAAGATCACAGTTTCTACCAAAATATTAAACTGTTTTCAACATTGATACTAATCTGAAATGTTTCTTGAGCAGCAAATCAGCATATTAGATTGATTTCTGAAGATCATGTGACACTGAAGACTGGAGTAATGATGCTGAAAATTCAGCTTCGCATCACAGGAATAAATTACATTTCAAAATATATTCACATAGAAAACAGTTATTTAAAATTGTAAAAATATTTCACAATATTTCAGTTTTTACTGTATTTTTGATCAAATAAATGGAGCCTTGATGAGCATAAGAATCAACAACATAAAAAAAAACCTTTCCAAACCTTTGAATAGTTGTGTATGAAAAGGATAAAAAAAAAGACTGTACACGCTCACACACAATTAACAAGAAAACTATTACTGGTTACATAAACCTGTCAAATACTCACCCTCGTTTCACTATAACATTGCGGTTGGTCACACAAAGCACGCGTGAAGGTGGCGACCGCATCTTAAAGCGATTCGGCCTTTCATTGGCGATTCTGAGCAACTGGGCACACAGCGTGTCAGTGCAAACCAAACTCCCACGATCGATAATAAACACTGCTTACTCTGAATAAACTAGCTTTATGTGAGGTAACCTGTAGTTGTCCCTGTAGAGTTTAATCTGCCGGACATTCCTGCCAGACGTTTGTGACCCGGAAAATCTGAATCAATCTCCTGTGCAAGCAAAGTTACATATGCTTAAAACGTACGATGTGTGTGCGTCTTAATCTGATTTAGAGCTCAGTAACGGTGACCCAGTGTGTGTGCTAACATACTCTGCAATCAGTTTAATCTCCGCATGCATAAACTTATGTTGTCCAACTGATACTCAAACACATATTTAACACAGAAACACGTTGCATTAATAATGCAAAAAAATCGACTAAGTAAACCTTGTTAGGTAGGTAAACTAAGGCTAGTCTGTGGGATCTGAACAAACCCTAAATGCTAACAAAGCACGCGTGAAGGTGGCGACCGCATCTTAAAGCGATTCGGTCTTTCATTGGTGATTCTGAGCAACTGGGCACACAGCGTTTCAGTGCAAACCAAACTCCCACGATCGATAATAAACACTGCTTACTCTGAATAAACTAGCTTTATGTGAGGTAACATGTAGTTGTCCCTGTAGAGTTTAATCTGCCGGACATTCCTGCCAGACGTTTGTGACCTGGAAAATCTGAATCAATCTCCTGTGCAAGCAAAGTTACATATGCTTAAAACGTACGATGTGTGTGCGTCTTAATCTGATTTAGAGCTCAGTAACGGTGACCCAGTGTGTGTGCTAACATACTCTGCAATCAGTTTAATCTCCGCATGCATAAACTTATGTTGTCCAACTGATACTCAAACACATATTTAACACAGAAACACGTTGCATTAATAATGCAAAAAAATCGACTAAGTAAACCTTGTTAGGTAGGTAAACTAAGGCTAGTCTGTGGGATCTGAACAAACCCTAAATGCTAAGCACTGATATCTGAGACCGGAAGTCAGAGATCTAGAGAGAAATCTGCAAGTTATCGTAAATATGATTATGCATTTTCCGTAACTCAGAATGTGAGTTTCGGGAAGGTCAGCATTGGCGAGACAGCGTGACCCTGACACAGCTAAATCAAGAGAAACACATGAGGGCTGAGAGCCAGGAGATTTTACAATCACAGAAGCGAGTAAGAGCGAGAGAGAAACAGACCCTAGAGAGTGAAAGATGGAGAAACTCTGGGCCGCAGGAAGGCAGAAAGAGCCAACTCCACACTTCCTGCAACTGGGCAACAGGAAAATAAAGACTGACACCGATAACACGGGAAACAGGAACACCTCGGTCAGCTGAGCTGATGTTAGCGGCTCTTGGGAAATAAGAAACTCTAGTCAGCAGATTCTTGCATAAACACAAATAAACAGACTTATCACTGCACACTTACTGCACAAAAGTTAGGACAAATGCAATCCAATGCAATGTCAAAAATGAACAAGGGAAAAAGAATTTAAGCAAAATCTTATTTTGTATTATAACCCGTCACCTTTGCTCAACACTTATGTGGCATTACGTGGCATGAATTGTTTTTGTGGCGCCTGCCTTGTAAAACTAAACCAGAGACCAGAAAGTGTTTTTCCAGTGAACACTGTGTCCAAAGCTGATACATAGTATCAGTATTTTGTGAGTTTATTGCTGATACATTCAAGGCTACTGAAACGACACGGTTTACAGGTGAACAGTCACCATTAGACATGATGTCATCACATTTCTGCAGTATTATTTTAGTATTTTTTATATTTTTATATATTTTGAATTATCTTTTGTTTTTATACTTTTTAATTGTGTTATGTGTAATTTTAATTATGTTATTATTTGTTATATGTTTGTAATTTGAATGAGTTTTTTCAATTTTTATTTTTTAATTGAGTTTCAGTTCTAGTAGTTTTAGTACTTCTTCAACTTAAAGGTGCAGTAGGAGATCTTGGAAACTGCTAACTTTAGCCTGATAGCACTGAAAGCGAATGTCCCATTCTCCCTGCAATCGCCGTCCAAAGCCACGCCCCCTGAACGCATATACGCTCACAGACCAGAATACCAGAGACAACATTACTGCAATAGCCTACATCAGAGGTTCCCAATTCCAGCCCATGTTCCGAAGTGAAGTAAACTTAAACGGATTTCCCCTACTCAGGGAGTAGGGAGCAATGAACACTGTGTAGGGATCATATCGACCGGAACATGTTTCTGAAGACAATCACCTATTGCACCTTTAAGCTTATTTCTTAAACATTTCTTGTTTGAGCTTCAGCTTTATTTAAATAAATATTATATTATTTTCTTCACAAGATGTTAACTGATGGACTGGAGTGGTGTGGATTACTTGTGGATTATTGTGATGTTTTTATCAGCTGTTTGGACTCTCATTCTGACGGCACCCATTCACTGCAGATCATCCATTGGTAAGCAGGTCTGTTCTGATGAAGAAACAATCTCTTCTACATTTTGGATGGCCTGAGTGAGTACATTTCTGAATTTAATTTTGGGTGCACTATTCCTTTAATAACAACACAGCATTTATGGCATGATTTTGGTTGATTAATGAATCCAGTCTCTTTGGGCATGTTATTTGACACCTGTGTTTTGGTGTGTTACCTGTTGCGGTCGTCTCCATCCGTGAGTGTGTTTTCAATGCCGCTGTCAGTCTCCACATCCTCATGGAGTTCTGGATGGACCAGAGCCGTCGTGTCCTCGTCCGTGAAGGTTTCACATTCACTGTAGGCGCTCTCCGACCCGAGATAGGCGCTGTCTGAAACCTCCGCCTGCTGCAAACACACACACACACACACTAATTAGAAAACTTTTATTGCTTATGGAGACATAAAGGTGTTCCCGCTTATGCTGCAAGTATCAACTTTGTCTCAGAGGTTTCTCCTAGAAACAACTCAATCAATGATTGACATGCAATAAGAATACAGAGCTATAAAATGGATGTGGATAACAGCTCAGATCATTTGGTTTTGGAAGAATTTGATGAGAAATGTTTAAGTTTATACTTTTCAAAGCAGATTTTGCAAAGCATTTTTGTCCATTTCACCAGCTCATGCCTTTTATAAACAGCAACATGCAAACACACGGGCGGAGGTTATTAATGTTTGCAACGAATGTTTACAGAACAAAATGATCTGATGCATTCAGGAGTGGTTGAAAACACATGTGACCACATTGCATTTGTAGTGTAAATGCTAATCTGTTCCGATGCTTTCCAGATAACAGCCTACTCACCTGTCAATCATCCACTGCACAAAACCAAGGGGTTTAACGTTAAAAGACTCACAAAACAAACTGTTGCTTTGTTGTTATTTATTGCCAAGTTTAAATGTACTATGAAAGTGCACCTTGTCTAAGGTGGATATTTACATAAACAATACATCAATAATGATTAAATAATAATAATGACAGGAAAAAGATCTGGGCACACCTGTCAATCATCCACTGCACAAAACCAAGGGGTTTAACTTTAAAAGACTCTCACAAAACAAACTGTTGCTTTGTTGTTATTTATTGCCAAGTTTAAATGTACTATGAAAGTGCACCTTGTCTAAGGTGGATATTTACATAAACAATACATCAATAATGATTAAATAATAATAATGACAGGAAAAAGATCTGGGCACAATAAAGGAAAAAATGCAAATGTATGTAATACCCCTTTTTCTACTGTGTATTTTCTTTTTCTTTTTTTTACACCAAGTAGAATATTAAAAAAAATCAAAAATTAAAAAAGGTTAAAAAATAATACACAGAATGTATACCCCTTGTTCTACTTTTTATTTTTCCCTTTGTTCTCATTTTTATATTATGCAAAACATTTTCTTGTAAAAATTATTATCTTGAAATTATGCCCCTTGTCCTACCGTTTAGTTTCCCCTTTGCCTGTTATGTGATACATTTGCTTGTTTTACAAAAACAAAAGAAATAAAGTGTATAAACCTTGTCCCACTGTATATTTATCTATACCCTTTACTATATAAAACATTTAATTTTTACATTTAATTTAAAAGTGAGAAACTTTGTTCAATTTCTTAAGTTGTTTAAAAACACAACGACCAAAATAAACCTCAAACCTTCAGTCGGTCAGTAAGCTCTAACCAAAAGTACAAACTCCATCAGAAAACCTGCATCTCAGTGCCCAACGTACCTGTGTGAGTCTGTTAGGAGCTCTTAAAACAGGAGAGGCCATTCCCAGAACCATTCTTCCTACTTGAGTACCGTCACACGGGAAAAACAGGTTCACTAACTAACCTAAAAACTAACAACAGCTGCTTCCTGTACCTTTCACAGTCCCCACATAGAGTCACCAGAGAGAGAAATTACTCCTAGTCTGCTGCCTTGGAAAATAAGGACCAAAGTCTGAAGGACACCAGGACCAGGAATGGGTGGAGTCTGTGCCCCTGACCCCGCCCCTTTAATTAACATTACACTCACGTGCCAACAGAACTTCTCACCACACCAAACAGAGTGTGTGCATACATTATGTGGCTGTGACTCAAAACCAAGTGTCCTGTCTACTTAGACAGCATTTTTAGTGTGTCTATGATGGCCAAAAATGCTGTCTAGGTAGGAGGACCACTAGCAAAACATTAACAATTCACACCCAACATGCACAAAACACTTATTCATGACGGCACGTGCTGCAGCAATCATATGTTCTGATGACTGACAGGTGTGTGCATGCGTGTGTTATAAAAAAATCTATCACCAGCCTGTCCTGTATATTGTTAACCATATGTGTGTGTGTGTAAGTGTGTTTGTTCCTCTGGATGAGGTGGTGTGTTTTGAAAGCAAACACGGACACAGCACAGCCATTCATGACCCGCACAGGTGTGTGTGAGTGTGTGTTTCATTAGAAGTGACGGGAAAACAGAAATGAGGAAAGGGAAAATCAGATCGCAAAAACAAGACCCTGAAGCAGCACATTGCATATTTCTGTATTTACAAAATGAATATGCTAAATACTGCAGGGAATAATAAGCCCCATTTGCAGTTTCAGAAGAGTTTATGTTTACTGACACATTATATTATTGCAGATATAACTCTTAAAGAGTTATAAAACTCTATTATAATTAAAGCTTTTGATAGACGGGGCCATAAGCACTGTAGACACTGAGGCATACAAATTAAGCTAACCATAATTTAATAAAGTGGTTATCTTAAACTACAGGAAAGCTAGCTTAAAATATAAAACCGTTACAGTTACAAAAAGAGTAGTTAACCACACTGAAGGACCAAACATGTTTTTGAATGAACCTCATGAACAAATGAAAATTTGAAGAAAACTTACACCAAGAACTAAAAAACTAGAATACACTTTAAATTTTATGAATGGGTTTAAAATATAGTAATGTACACAAGCATCTAACTAGAAATTTCACTTAAAGAAATCTGAAATGTCACACACTTACTAACAGAAAAGAAACAAAGAACATCTATAGACTACTGTGCAAAAGTCTTAGGCCATTAATATTTCCACCAACAAAAAATGGTTTTAAGTCAGTTATTTCTATCTTTTGCTGTAGTGTGTCAGTAGGAAATATCAGTTTACATTTCCAAACAAAGGAATGTTTGGAAATGTAAACTAATATTATTATATGTGACCCTGGACCACAAAACCAGTCATAAGGGTCAATTTTTTTAAAATTGAGATTTATAGATCATCTGAAAGCTGAATAAATAAGCTTTGTGAGGATAGAACAATATTTGGCCGAGATACAACTATTCTTGTCTGGAAAATCTGGAATCTGAGGGTGCAAAAAAATCAAAACAGTGAGAAAATCGCCTTTAAAGTTGTCCAAATGAAGTTCTTAGCAATGCATATTACTAATCAAAAATTAAATTTTGATATATTTATGGTAGGAAATGTACAAAATATCTTCATGGAACATGATCTTTACTTAATATCCTAATGATTTTAGGCATAAAAGAAAAATCGATAATTTTGACCCATACAATGTTTTTTAGCTATTGCTACAAATATACCCCAGTGACTTAAGACTGCTTTTGTGCTCCAGGGTCACATATGTCCTTCTGACACATTACTGAATATGTAGTTAGTAAATAATGAATGAGCTGAATACACATTTCACCACTGAGCCAGTAGGAGGTGCTGTAGCAGAGCAATGAACATGCTCTGTTTCTCATGTTCTGTGGTCTTTCAATCTTTTGGGGAATTTGTGGAATGTGCTGGTCTAGAATCCATGATTCTGCAATAACGGGGTCCTGAAATTCTGATTTATTATGTTTGTCATGACAAGAGGGGAGGAGAATTGGCCACAATAACCACAACGCTGGTGTGTTATACCTCGTCATATTCCTCTGGAGGTCCATTGGCTTCCACCGCACTGAGATGAGTCTTGTAGAGATCTGGATCAGAACCTGATAAAGAAAAACATCTTAAAATAGGATTATGACAAAGAACTATTGATAACTGTTTAGATTGATATATATAGAAAAACTACTGTTTGGTTGATCAACATCACCAGCATATGGTAATTGAGTGTTTTGGAGATGCAGCGGTTCATGACATTCACATTCTCTTTATGTTTTTGAGCAAACACTGAGCAACTGGGCTGTCTGGAGTCCAGGAAACTATATTTATGTAATAGTCCGTTTCAGCTAGCTGGAATATTTTCCTCCTGAAAAATGTTTCCTTGAATCTGGTAAATGTTATGGAGTACAAATAGACAGGCAGGGAGAGGTAGATGCTCCACAGTCACTCATCCATTAATGAAGAGAGAAATCTGACTCGTGAAACACTGGACGCCCAGCAGGCCATTAGAAACATGATCACCCTCATTACTGAAGTATTATCAGTAGAAAACCCAAGCAAAGTGCTTTAAGCTATTCCTGCATCATCATAATAGATTTAAAGAGAGATGGGGAGTGTATGAGCCTGCTAGTGTATGGATTTGCTTCGAAATACAGTCAGTGAGCAGCCAACATAGACCACATTTTTAGGAAATAAACGGTTAAATATTTGGCATTACATCACTTGCTCACCAATGGATGCTCTGCAGTGAATGGGTGCCGTCAGAATGAGAGTCCAAACAGCTGATAAAAACATCACAATAATCCACACCACTCCAGTCCAGCAGTTAATGTGTTGTGAAGCCACAAGCTGCGTGTTTGCAAGAAACAAATCCATCGTTAAGGCATTTTAAATGTTAAATAGTCAAGCTAAAATACCAGTCCATAATCCATAATAACACTTCCTCCAGAGAAAAAGTCTATTCCCTGTTGTCCTCTCACATCAAAATACAACCATACATTTGTTTAGATCTGTTACCAATGCTTGATCTTTGCAGATTTCTCTCCTGATTCAGATGAGAGCATTTTTTCACTGGAGGAAGACTTATTATGGATTATAGATTCATATTTTTGCCAGAAGTAACGGTTTGAAGTTAAAAACATCTTGATGAATTCGTTTCTCACAAACACAAAGCTTTTCACTTCTCAAGATGTTAACTGATGGACTGGAGTGGTGTGGATTACTTGTGGATTATTGTGATGTTTTTATCAGCTGTTTGGACTCTCATTCTGACGGCACCCATTCACTGCAGAGGATCAATTGCTGAGCAAGTGATGCAATGCTACATTTCTCCAAATTTGCTCCAATGAAGATACAAACTCATCTACATCTTGGATGACCTGTGGACAAGTGAATTTTAGCAAATTTACATTTCTGGCTGAACTATTTCTTTCCTAGGAAGAGAGTTTACTAAGTTTTGAAACACATGTTAACCAAATACATACTAATTATTCTGAAGGTTTAGAGAACAGATTGAAATGTGTAAAGCATCTGTGTCTAACAGGTGTCTAAAGCAGGTGTCTTCAAGAAAACTATGACAGCAGACATCTGAGGATTATCATGTGTGCTTTGCCACATTATTTTTGCATTTAAGATCAGGTTCTGTTATGTATTATCATGGTATGAATTCACTTAGTTTGAATGTTTAATCTAGCTATAACTCTAAATATATCAGTCATGTTAATGCTCCTGTGTGGCAAGTAAAAGCTCTTCGGAGACTCTTTTCTCTATAAAGAAACTCAAAATTCCCATTTCAGCGGTGTCATTCACTGTGAGTAATTCACAGATGCTCTGACTCATTATTTTGCGCTTTGTTTTTCTCTCTCTCAATCAGTAAAAATCATTACTAAATAGTGTCAGATTATCACGCAGTCATCAAGAAAACAAGATGTTTGTGTTTCTGACTTGGCTATTCTTTTGAGGACAAAACTGATGACGAAAACTCTAGCCTAACCTGAAAAAAGGTCCTTTTGGAGATGTTCATGAAAAAGAAAAAAAATGCTGCTTAAAGGGTTTAAATAATATTTTTATTCTGTTCTGAAATTGACAAAAACTCTATTTTAGGGTTTGGATTAGTCTATAGTATAATTGATCTCTAATTAAGAACAACAGATGTTAATGGAAACTCCCAACATGATTTAAAGCATGCCTTGAGTGTGTTTGTATGTGCTGCTGCTGTACCTTCATTGCTGATTGTGCTGATGCCTCTGTGGAAATCTTCAAAACTGATCACACCCAGACCACTGGGATCCAAGAACCGTGTCAGATCCTTCACCTGAAACCACAAACACACAGCACTCAACAAACACGAAAAAACACAAACTATTCATCTTACACAAACAGAGCTGCAACATTATCATACATTTAATGTCAACAAAACACACAAACTGATTCTCCCACAAAACGGAAAAAAAGATAAAGAATGAAATGCGATCTTAATTTCCCCTGCACAAATGAAATTACATCATCAAAACAAAGTGAGAATAAGAGACACAAAAGTGACCTAGGCTCGTTTTAGCATTTTTCTTCATCTATGTATTATCTTCTATTTAAGAACAAAACATTATATAAACTTATTTGTAACTCAAGGATAAACAAAACAGACAAAATCAGTCCATCCCTGATATATGGTGGCCAGAGCATGTGAGCGAAGCGGAGCGGTGTGACGCTCCGCTACGTTTTCCGCTCTATGGACGTGCGCTCCACTCAGTCGCTCTAACCGCCCAAGCAAGCGCTCCGTTAATATTCCGCTCACGCTCGCCGTAAACCAATTCCCGCTCAGATCCCGCTCCGTTCTGTAAAGAACAAATTTGCGTGCATTATATTAGATTATAAATTACTGCTGCCTAAGATTCTCGATCTCGAACAAGCAAATCACCAAACGGCATTCTGGGTTGAGCGAGTGGCGCTGAGCGTATTGAGCGAGCGGAGCGGAATCTTCAGAAAGGCGCTCTGCGCTCTTAAGGAAATATTACCACTCCGCTCACACTCCACTCCGCTCACATGCTCTGATGGTGGTAAAACACACATTCTCTCTCTTACACACACACACATTGTCTCGATACACTCCAGTGAACAGACACAATTACACACAGTCGGTAACCAGGCAACAGCAGAACTGATATCCAGCAGGACAGTCATGAGTTCCAGAATCAGTTCTCAAAGTAAAACCACAAAAATATTCAAATACCTCCAACCGACAGATCAAAACATCAAACTGTTGCCTAATCATTAAAGGGGCCATCGGATGCAAAATTCACTTTACAAGTTGTTTGAACATAAATGTGTGTTGGAAGTGTGTGTACACAGCCATCCTATAATGATAAAAATCCACCCAGTGTGTTTTTTTAAATCCCTATTTTAAAATCCCCTTTCTCAAATCAGGCTGTTCTGAGATTCCTGTCACAATGACGTAGTTCTGCACAGGCCCCTCCCACGATAGTTGATTGACACTAGCGTCTTACCTTAGACCCGCCCTGAGTGAGCTGTTATCAGTCCGCCATTGTGTCGACTCCAGTGCAGGGGAAGACAAAAACGTCTCCGATTAAGCGATTGAGGTGTTCTGTTGTTGGATGTAATAATGAATATAGCAGTTGTCACTTTACTCCCGACATCTGAGCCACTGAAGATGCAGTGGATTAACGCTACTTTCGTTTTGAAGGGAATGCGCCAATCACCGATCTACCTATATGCGTCTATGTTCGCGCGAATCATTCGTGATCCAGCTTCAACAGAAGAAGTGAGCATAAGGGTTTTTTATGAATCTTTGCAAATCGCCTTTCCTAATAACGTGCTAGTTAGCCAGTTTCACGGCTGAAGTTTACAGTCTGCTCGTCACCCCACGGAAGAGAGGGGCGGGGTCAGCAGAGCTCATTAGCATTTGAAGCAACATGGACTAGAATGGCTTGCTGAAAACAGAGCTGATTTTGACAGGGTAAAAAAGGTGTTTTTTACACTACCTTTGAGAAATTTTAACCAAAGTGTGTTATAGACTTTTCATTAAGACCCTAAAGAATCATATCAACTTGTGGAAAATGGGCATCCAATGACCCCTTTAAACTCTATTTGTGTGCATGATATTTTAGCTCTTAAAGGCACCAATTTACACATACAATAAAAATACTATGTAAGTCAACGGCTACTGTCAACTGTCTCGTTACCAACATTCTTCAAAATATCTTCTTTTGTGCTTAACAAAAGAAAAAAACTCATACAGGTGTTTCATGAGTGTCAGTAAATGATGACAGTGAATTAGCACTTTAAATTACTATGTAGGAAACAGGGTTATTGCTGTTAACTAATACAAAAACTAAAACTACTAAAATATTTTTTTTATTGAAATAAAGCTGAAATAAAATATAATACAAAACAAAAAAACTAAACTAAAATGGAAATCAATTACAACTCAATAGTAATATTTAAAAAATAATAAAAATAAATATATTAAAATAATACCAAAACTTACATTAAATTAAAAAGAAAACTGAAAATATATTTAAAAAAAAAACTAATTCAAAATATGAATAAAATCTGTAATAGTACATAAAAATACTAAAATAACTATATAAATACACAAGTTGTTTATCAATACATTTCTATCAGATAAACAATCATTTAAAGATTATTCCTGGTATTTTATCACCTGTACAATCAAATTTCCTTTAATTAATCAAATGACTGCTTTAGGTAATGACTGTAATGTGGGGCAGGCGAGGAGCTGTTTCACCCACTGTATATAAAAGCATCTCAAGTCAAAGTGTGAAAACCAGCGAGTCACGAATCAGTCACATGAGCGGCGTCACTTTGATTTCACACATCAAAAAACTGTGACGGACTGAACCACATCAATTACGATTAAAGCAGAAAAAAGTCATTAAAAACCTTAGGCCGTTGATCTTGATTTAAAACACTAGGTGTTTTAGGTCTTCACAAGCTAATTCACCCCATACAGAGAAATTATTCTTTATTCTTTTCACTTTCTAACTTTTTTACATTTTAAAAAGCACAGTAACAACAGCTTTCTTATAGAGTCACACATGGACAGTTTTGCTCTGCTACCTGATGCTAATTACCAGTTCCTTCCTGGAAAACACTACTTCTGGGTAAGAATTTGCATCTAACGTCACACAATCCCATAGCAACCGTATCACACAGATAAAAAAGACATGGAAATGACATAATAATGAAAGACACATGCCAGGGTATATACAGGAATCATGGAGTTAAATTTAATACCTTTTAAGACCTTTTTTAAGACTCTTTCCATACATTTTAAGTCCTCATCGCCACTCCAAGTTTTAACCGGTTACATCTGCAACACTTTAACTTACATTTACTCTATACTGTTTGTAAGATAGCACAACTAAACAGACTTACTTTGTGATAACTCCTTATCAATGCAACATAATTCAGAAGGGGGGAACGTAGCACAAGAGAATTAATTGAGTGACCAGTAAAAAAAAACAGCCCAAAGTAGCGCAATTATGTCCCAAATATCAAAATGTCATTTCCATTCCTAAAATACATATTTTACAGTCACTGTTATGCACATTTATCATAAACACAGCTCAAATGCTTCCTACTAGTGTGGCCCAAAACATTTAGCACAGTTTTATTACAGGTAGAATGCAAAATGTTTCAGTACAAGCATTTCAACCAAATGTAATTTATGCAATATTTCAAACCTTTAACCCACTGTGGGAAATCAGCCCATGGCAACAGTTTAAAAGCAGCCCAATTTCGTGGAAAAAAACAACAACAACCCTGCATCCAACTCGAGCTGCAGAAGCCAGATTTGACTGATCACGGGTCAAAAGGAAGGAGAGATAACTGACAAAGATGTTGGAGGATTTGCGCCTCAACAGATCCCGAGCTCACTGACAAATATCTTTTATCGTAATATGTGCTCCCTTTACACAGTGCGTGCGCGATTGCGAAATTGAAAGTGAAAGTAAACTGCGACTGCAAGCGCTCATTCACATATTGATAGTGGTGCCCTGATGTGCGAAAATTATATACAATATTAGAATGTTTGCGGGAGTGGATGGGAGCATGCGGTAATGATCAGAAGTTCAGCGTGAGCGGGATCAACAAGCCCCGCACTATCACGCAGCGGCGCCGTCAGTCAGTGAGAGCCGTAACAGATGACGTCAAATCTTGCGGGATTCCATAAATAAACTACACAAAACCCCACTATTCGGACAAATATACATAATGAAAAGATGATACAAAATTCAATACCTTGGAAAATGGCATTTAAGACTTTTTAATACTTATTAAGCGCCTTAATTTTATCTAAATTGATTTAACAACTTTTAATACTTTTTAAGACCCCACGGACACCCTGCGATTCACACAGACACAATCTCTCTCCAGTCTGTACTGAAAACATATCTGAGACCAATACAATCCACACACACACTCAGCATTTATTTTTTACATCATATCACTTTCTGTCTCCCTGATTCTTCATCAAGTTTATTTCTCTCCACCCTTTTAGTCATAAACCATCTCAGTGAGCCAACCAGCTGAGCAAGCTCTTATAATGTACACTCGTATCACGAGAAGAAACCAGTGCAAAATTGAGTCCAATCACAGTCATGCAGACAAAGGAATTACCCCCGAGGCTGGGACGGTGTATGGTTTGCAACTGCATTCCTGAAACCATAAACTACATTATAAAGAACACACAAACTTGCTTAGTGTTGCAAATATGTGATGCTTTTCTCATGACAGAGCGGTTAAAGTTTAAACCTATCACACTGTCACAAGCTCACTGCAAAATTAGACTAATCTCAAAGACAAATGCAAAAATAAGTCATATGTTTCATTACCTATGTACAGTGCAAGTGCATTTGGGAAAAGATTAATAACAATGATGATAAGACAAATAAAAGAGTTTATTTGTCCATGCACCCCTCTCTATCATCTCTATCTGCCCGTTTAACCTTTCAGCTGATTGTATCAGCAGTTTTAACAGTCACAAAAGAGACAGACTTCCGGCATCTAATCCATCCTCTCTTAAATGCACAATGGCATGTGTCTGGGGGATCAGGAGTTAACAGGAATGCAAATCTATATTCTCATCTGAACTGCAAAATAACCACAGAGGGATTTTGAAGTTGGTACATCTGGTGCTCAATGTTAGGTCTCAAAAGCAGTTTGAAAATAAATACATCCTCCTTCTGAATATCTAGCATCACTTGTCTACTGACCTGCCAAATACATATAATGATAAACACCTATAAACACTAGTGCAACATCATTAACGCTCATCAAACAATACAGAGGACCATATTTTATTAGATGAGCTCGCATGCATTTCAAACACAAATCAATTCATACATTTCAGCCATACATTATATATTATTGATCTACCCTCAGTTTAGGTGTCAATTACATGACTTACTAAACTAAAACTTTTTTTTTTTCATACTTAACTACCAGGATTATTCACGTTTTAGAATAAATTAAGCTAAAATTGACAGAACCTGTGATGACAAAAATAAATTGCCACTTGTCCCTCTTTTTGTTTAAAATAAACAAAAATCAGTCTTCAGCAGTAGTCTGTTTCAATAGTATAGACACAAATAGTGAGTTTCAACATGATTTTAGTGTAAAAAAAATTCCTACTAACCATTTCTATGCAAAGTTATTTTACAACGTTGCAATGCCATAAAACAGCTGTAAAAATTATGAATTAAAGAGCTTGAAAGCTCAAATAATACACAACTTTTAACAGAAAACTATGAACTTCACATTTCTACTTTTAAAGCTTAAAAAAAAAAAAAAAATTGGCCCCATTTTTTTCCATTGTAAACATCTCACCATAACCTCAATTGTTTTTTAAACACTGGACAAGCTGAAAATATCTTGAACTGTATTGAACCTGGAACATTCTTTTAAACAGCTGATGTTCAAGTTAAGATACAGCAACTATTACAAGTTACTACACAATTGAATATATAAATATAAATAAATAAACTTCGGTAAGAAGTTTGAGAGATCATTACAAGACATTAAAAAGTGTATTAATACTTGCAAAGATAATTAAAACTGATGCAAAATAGTTAAAAAAGGAAAAACACCATGAAAGAAAGAGCGAGAGACACAGGACAAGAGTGGTATTCTCAGTCTTTCAGGGTTTGAATAATAAAAGAGCAGTTCTTGGGTGTCACCATGATCAAGTTTCACTATGAGCTTTGGGAACCAAGAGAAGACGCACTCTGTCCTGTAATCATAAGGCACTTTTATAACATTTACACCCCCCACCCAACATTTAGCCACCACAAACTCACACAAATAGACACGGATACACCAAAAACTGACCTGTTCGGCTCCATATGCTTTTGCAAACTCGATGAACTCCTCAATATGGACAAATCCATCTCCGTCCTGATCCAAAGCATGGAAAACCGCTCTGAGAGCCGACTGCTCATCGCTTTTATGGGCTGTTGCGGAAACTATAGGCACATTTATCAAATCCACGGGGACCCTCTGGTCATGGAGCGATTTGGTCAGCAGAGCATCTGAGGCCTTGCACAGATCCAGAGTCATTTCTGCATGTTTGGGAATGTTGGGAGTATCAGGATTATTCTCCATCAAGGTCAGGTAGGCCTCCCCATCCAGGCTGGCTCCACAGGGAAAGACATTCCTATGTGAGGGAGGAAAGCTGGGGGTGACTGAGCTCACTTGTTGCTCTTGTGCCAGGTCTATCTGTGATGGTGTCAGCTGATGGAAATCCTCCTGATGTGTAAGCTGAGCAGGAAACCCCGCCTTTCCCTCTCCTGTAGCTTCATGCAGTTGGCTGGGAGTCTCTGTGGTCTCTGTAAGATCCGGCCCCACTAGTCCACCCGTCACGGTCAGCTGATCACCTGCACAGGTGAGGGGCATGGACTCTAAAGAATCACGATTACTTGCGCAATGAGGTATGACTTGATTCTGAGTAGACATACTGCAATCTGATCTCTCCCCTCCGTGTAAAGACTCACTGTGAGGTTTCTCTTCGACATTCGGCTGTGTATTGAGACCGTCATTGTGAGCTGTTGCATTTTCTTCAGGTGCATCTATTACAACTGCACTCGAGTTTGCAGTCAAAGAGTCATTCAGTTGGTCCGAAGATGTGAGATTTTCCTCAAGTGCATTCTCTTTTTGCTGAGCATTGACTTGTCCCTGACAGGTTTCACTCATTGCAATCAGTTCTTGATTGTTGTCAGCTTTACTGTCATCTAGGTTTAAATAAACAGTTTGCAAACTGTCCGATTTACTTTGCAAATTGGTTCCCTCTTGATTTTGATGCAAATCTGAGATCTCTAAAACTTTGAGTGTGTCTGAGTCCTCTGTGTTACCTATTGTGGGTGTGCGATCAGCTCGCTGTGTCTCCATAGCCTCAGGGTCATTGTCTACATTGTCGGTTTCTACATTTGTTACATTATCCTGAAATTCAAGGGTGAGTGCATTAGATTCAAGATCGGGTGAGTTTGCATCACATTTCTCCTGTTCTGTTAGCTCAATAGCATCTCTTACAGGTGGAATTACAGAGTCTAAAGATGGCACAGCTTCGCAAGAGATGCTGTCTGTTAAGATTTCAAACATGGAATCAGGAATATCGCCATCATGGGACACCTCAGATAAGGCTTCAGCCTCAGTTGAATGTGTGGGCTGGATATGGTCCTCAGGTAAGATGTCATCTTCAGGTGAGAGCTCAATTAAGGCATTATGCTCAGATGTGCTGAGTGGCAAGGCTCTTGTGGACTCCTTATGTTCGTCTATGTCAAGCAGGCTTTCAGTTGAAGGATCTTCTGACTGCAAATCAACAAAAGCAATTGGTGCGAGTCCTGTTTCAGGTTCAGAAAAAGCATTATCAGCTGTAGCATTGGACACTACCTCCTCCTCCAACTCTTCTCCAACCGTTTCCAATGGTTCACATTCTGTGGATAAAACACACATTTCTTCACAAAGTTCAGATATGCAAGACACACCTAATGGACTCCTACAAACGGTCTCTGCTTCAGAAGATAGCTGTGTTGTTTCCATGTTAGTGTCTGTCATCTCTTGGCTCTGAAGATCATCGTCAAGGGTCTCGTTACTAGCGAAGGGCTTACTACTCTCTTGTTCAGAGTACAGACCTCCAACCAGCAGCCCGGGTAACAACATCTCTACCTCATCCATTTGAAAGGGTGCACTACTCTCGTGATATGGCAGAATAGGTGGTTCTGTACATATCTTCGGAGAGGTGAGCTCACAGGGAAGGGCTGTGGATGAGTAGATGTGTTCTGGTGTAGGTAGAGGTGTCTGACAAATAATTGAAGGCTTGGGATTTGAGTTCGTATCTGTACATGACAACTCCACAAGAGAAACGGGCAACAAACCTTCAGAATTCAGAGTGAGATGAGTCCCGTGTGGAAGCAAGCTCTGACTGTCATTGTTCACAAATGTTTGGGAATTATGGCTGAACTCACTGTTTGTTAAATGTGTGTCCTCAAGGAGGTGGGTTTCTTGTAGTAGTGGGTCAATAATACCCAGCTCACCTGTGTACACATCTAGAGGGTTTGAAGTAGCAGTAACCTCCACCGGTTGCAGGAAATCAGGCACCTGTTCAGGAAGGTCATAAAAGTTGTTTTGATTCTGCACTTGCATATTTAAGACCGTAGGACTAGTAGATCTAGAATTAAAACAGATGGGATCTCCATCAACAGTTTCCAAACTTCCAGGAGAACCCTCTCCTTTGAGATTTTGGGAAGGAGGAGGCTGAGTCTTCCAATCGGGATAGACACATTCCAAACCATTTTCCCAAGAATATGTCTGCCCAGAATACGGAGAGGACCAAAATAAGTCATCTAGGTTTATGGCGTTCTCCTGAAAAATGTCATTAGTAGAATCAACAGAACTGTTATCTTTATCCATAAGGAGAAATCCAAGGGGATTCTGCTCAGATTCCCACTCAGCTTTCCCATTCACCTCCCACTCAGAACACCCCTGAGGGCTGGAGAGAACTTGCTCCATTGAAAAGAAGAGTTCTCTCCTCTGACAAATGGAAATATTCCAGAAATTCCAATCCTTTATGATCCCACAAGGTAATGTTCGGAATTCAAAAGCAAATGGTGGCCTCTTCCAGCATACGCACCAAAAGAAATATCCTTGTCGAGACCATGCGTAAGCGTCCACCTCCCTGTAAATGATCAACTACTGTTTACTTTTGTGGACACAGGGATAATGTTTCATTGCTGTAATACAGCTCATATGGACTGAGACATTTTTCCGATATGCACACCTCTCCATGGGAAAATAAATAAATAAATAAAAAATGTTGGCCCTGTTTTCCCTGTTCTGCATTCAGTCGCATCTAATCCACTTGACAAGTCTTCTCAAAACATGCTGATCCACATTCCAATCAACACATAACAACAGGATTACTTCAGTACTTAAGATTGCTACCCATAAAACAACTCAAAAAATCTTTATGAAAAATACAATTTTAGAATCTATACATGTATAAGAGAATACACAAGATTGCATAAAAGAGAGCTTTATCATTGCCAATATAACACTGTATAACCAAATTCCATAACCTTTAACTTCCTAGAGTTAAAAAAAACTGCCTCTTAAGCAAATCATTATAAGTTCACATTAATGGTACACTTATAAAAGGTTTGACCCTGGATTAACTACTAATTATTAAAGTCAGATTATGGTGTAAAAACACAAGGCAGTGTATTCAATTATTTTACTCAGATTGTCTCGCTGTCATAGAGAATACATCTTAACATATCTTCAATTGTTATGTGTTAAGCACAACAGACTATGTTTTAAACAGCTGTCATTGTGTTATTAGACAAAAAAAAAAAAAAAAAAACGAAAAACCTTAACGTTAAATTATAAACTTGTTCTCGCGCGGTTAGCATCAGCATCCTCCACATCTGAGGTAAACCCATTAGCCGACTAGCTGGCCCATACGACCCCCGCTCATTTGAAAATAAAAGAAGACCCCTGATGTTTCTGGTTCCCGTCAGACTTGATTTAATCCCTTTATTTGGTTTGATGCTAGGTGTTTTATTCCTGTTTGTATTTCGTAAAAACAGGCCAACATCCAGGTCGAGTCTCGCGAGTCATCCACCTGCGCTTGTTATTAGCCTGTTAGCGGGATCAAATCAGCGCGAGACCACCGATAATCCCATAAATAAAGCGCGAATCCCTTTTATTTTAATCCCTCGGCGGCGATTTATCCGTTAACCTGAAACCTGAGATTTAGGATGAGCTTGTGAGGTCCTGTTTTTTTAGTCGACGGATGATGTTTCAGTCTCTCTCTCTCTCTCTCTCTCATCAGCAGCAATACACACCCTCCGTTGTCTCTCTCACACACACACACACACACACACACACATTAAACAAAGTTTCAGTTACCATTTATTTTTTTTCAAGGACTGATTTTTTTCTTTTCTTTTTTGTAAATAGTTCAATGTGCCAAATCGGTTTTTTCAGTCTTTAGAACATATCATATCCTCACAGTTAGCTTGAAAAAGAAATTGTATCCGGCATTATAAGGTCAAAAATAAAAATAAAATATCATCAATAAAATATCCGTCATATTTCACCTCAAAATCAAAGGAAGAAAATATATTTGTAATATATTATATATAAATATATTATAAAATGCAGTCATTACAGTAATGAGACAAAAGATACTCATTATCATAAAGTAGGAAAAATATTATTATGATTAAAATAATCATAAATTAAAAAAATTGTAACATGTTCTTTGTACTGACATTAATTTATGCTGAAAATCCAATGAAAAGAATGAGAATTTACAACTCAAAAAGTATAACAGAGCATTATGAAAAATAGAATTTGGGTAGAAATGTTTTTAATTCTAAAAATTTAAGTCCTAAAATTAGGCTTAATTTTCTTAACACAGAATATTATTGCTTATTTCTTTCTTTAGTTTTGGGGTGAAAAATAAAATGGACGTTTTTGTAATATTCAACAACCATACAGATGCTGGCATGATCAACTGGTCCATTGCTGTTGATTTCATCTTCTATTCATGCTATTTATCCTTTCTTTTCTCTGCAGACCAAAAACCTAGAAACATAAGAGAAACGAAGTTAGAATGAGATTTTATATACCAAAAACGTTACCCACATATTCACAGGTCAATCATACAGTGGTAGAAAATTTCGGTGGATTTCATCGAAAATGTTTTGCTCACAAGATCGCAGATTTTTTTTTTAAATTGATTCTCTTAAGTGTGTTGAGCATTTGAATAATTATTATAATTATTGATTTATGTTAATCGGTTCAGTCCTATATAACTAGCAAGCACCTGTCTTCTAGCACAGGCACACACACCTGTGTGCGGTGCTGTCTGTCATAGTTTTGCAGAGCGAGATGAGACAATACCCAGCAGCCGTTCCACGTCATTGGCCGAGGTGAGCCACGCCCCTCCGTCGGCGACCAGTATAGCGCCGGTGACATATGAAGCCGCGCGGCTAGCCAGGAAAAGAACCGCATGTGCGATCTCGGTCTTATTGCCGGCTCTTTGCAGCGGGATGCTGCGGAAAACCCCCGCTGACTCGGCATGTGAACCACCTGAAAGAACAATAGTGATGGTGAAAAAGAAAGGTATAGTGACACTACAGTTATGCTACACACACACACACACACACAACTGTCTTACCCAGTCTACGGTATCCCTCTGTGCCAGAGATGGGCCCTGGAGCCACTGTGTTCACCCTCACACCACTGGGGCCCCACTCGACCGCCAAGTGTCTCGTCATGGCATCTACAAACACATATAGATATGCAGATAATTAGTCCTTATTTTAGTATCATTAATATACTAGTATATATTTGTTAATATTCAGAATTTTTTACAAATATTTTGTTTTCACTGAGTTAATTTTTTTGTAATTTTGTTGTTTGTTTTTGCCATTTTACTAGTATTTATTTATTTAGTTTTTGTTAATATATGTGTGTGTGGGTCAAAGACATTAAGATGTCCGCATCAAAAGAACTTTACAAAAGTGATTTTATGTCCATAGAAAGCACATTAAATGTAAGTAAAGTGTCTACTTTTAAGGTTTCAAATAAGTTTTTGGAGAATAAAATGTCAAAATTTGGTTGAAATAATGTTACATTGTCATTCAGTGTAACACAATATTTACATAAAAATTCTAACAACATGCTTATTCTGACGTGTACATATTAAAATATATAAAAGAATAAGGGAGCATATTAAATTTGATTGTGTTTTAAATGAGGAAAAAATTCTTACTGACAAATGGGCAAAACCTAGGATAGTGGCCAATTTTAAAAAATTTTAATTACAACTAATTAGTATTTGGGGTGAAAGTAATCAATTTTTTAATATGTCATAAATTGATTTTTGTTGTAAATATGCCTGACAAGATTGTTACACTGAATGACATTTTAGTGGGTCTCTTCTGTAAATCAGGGGAAAATGTATGATATTTATTTTTTGCTAAGAAAAACAAAAACAAAATTGCAATTAAATTAAACAGAAACTTTTTACATTTTTTTGGGGAAAAACAACAACAATTTAAAGCAGTATATATATATTTATTTCAGTTACCATTTATTTTATTTCAAGAACGGAAATGTTTTTTTTTTTTGTAAATAGTTCAATGTGCCAAATCGGTCTTTTCTATCTTTAGAACATATCATATCCTCACAGTTAGCTTGAAAAAAAAATTTGTATCCGGCATTATAAGGTCAAAAACAAAACAAAACAAAAAAATGTATATATTCATGTATAAATCATTAACGATTAGAATTAAAATAAATAAATGGGGACAATTTTGATTTAATTCCATCTTTACACACCAGATGTAATATGATTTATTCCACTCTTTTATCCAACTCCATGTTTTTATTCGCCTTACAAATGAGGAACATCAGTCTTCATACTAGTTTTAGATTCATCTGCATACTATTGTCTTACGTATGGTTTCTTCCATTTGTCATGGAGCACTATTACTCGTATAAATACTTATTATATATTTTAATGTTTATAAATACAAATATATGACTTTATACAAATTATGCAGAACATAAACCAAAATCAACACTAACCGTTTGCAGCCTTCGCTGACCCAGCATGCACCTGGAGAGCCTGACCTCTGTATCCCAGTGTGGCGGAAATGTTGACAATGGAGCCGCCATGATCCTGAGATAAAGAAATAAAGCCACAAACTATGAGACTGAATATAAAGTACTGCTTCATACAGAGAGATCTCTACATGTGAGAAAAAAAGCCAAGGAGTGAGATATTTAAGTAATAAAAGTCTTGAGATGTATATCTGTACCTTGAACCATTTGTCATAGATGACTTTACTGGTGTTGAAAGTTCCCATGGTGTCGATCTCCATTACCGTCTTGAAAGCGTTAAATGACAATGATGTAGCTGGACACAAGAAATTACCTGCAGCATCTGTGAAATAAAAATTACAAACCACAAAACTGTATGACTATTTTCAAAAAATACATGTGCTCGCATAATATGCAACCACACATTAGATCATAAAAAAGGAAATTTGGACAGAGGGTATTAAGCCGATTATCAACATCATTATATCTACAGAATAAAGATCTCTTTGGTAATAGACTGTTAGTTTGGGACATGTTTTTATCACAGGTTAAGGCACTGTGTTTGACCTTCTAACTCCAGCCTTACTGTTAATTAGTATGTCAACACGTCCAAATGTCTTCAAGGTTTCATCCATGGCAGCAGAAATCGTCTCTGGTTGACGCACATCTATGGCAATCCCCAAACACCGTCTGCCTGTAGTGCTGCTTAACTTTTTTGCAGCCTAAACCACACAAACACATAAAGATGAGTTACTCTTCATCAGAGTAATGACATCAGTGAGTTGCTGAGGATTTGTAGAGACAGTACCTCAGTGAGTTTCTCCAGATTTCTGCTGGCGATGACCGTGTCGCACCCATGCCTGCACGAAAAAAAGTTTAAAAAAAAGAAGCTTCAATCAACTTATTCAGATGAATTTGAAGTTGCAGGCTTGAGAAGACGACATGTTATTGAAGGTCACAAAGGTTTAAGATCAATATGCATGTCATTATAAAAGGTATATCATGAGTGAAAAAGTCGAGCTGAGAGGTACATTCATGGACAAAGTGTTGAGAGTAGGGCTGCACGATAAATCAAAATGGAATCGAGATCGCGATTCAACAGAAGCTGCGATTGTCATGCGTATCTTTCAGTGAAGCACGGCTCTGTGATCAGTAGTAAATCTCCATCTCCATAACTTGTCAGTGAACTACGGCTATGTGTAGTAAATTCTGCTCCATCTGAAAGCATGTGATGATGATTTCCTGCTGATTACAGAACCGGCTTTTTTAACCATGCGCATGACAATATGCGCATGACAATCGCATTCGATTAATCGTGCAGCCCTAGTTGAGAGTGAGAAAATACTGAGGAAAAATTGCTGACAACTCACCTCATCAGAACTTCTGCTATTCGAAACCCAATACCTGATCCTCCGCCGGTTATAAAGGCCACCTGATCACTGCAAAAATAAGTCTCTCTTTCTCTTTCTCTCTCTCTCTCTCTCTCTATATATATATATATATATATATGCATAACTGCTGTTCAAAAGTTAGGGAACAGTAAGATTTTTTATGTGTTTTAAAGAAGTCTCTTGTGTTCATCAAGACTGCATTTATTTGACCAAAAATACAGAAAAAAACAGTAATATTGTTCAAAATATAAATCGTTTGTAACAATATACACTACCATTGAAACGTTTGGGGTCAGTAATTTTTTTTTTTTTTTAAGAAATTAATGCTTTTATTCAGCAAGGATGTGTTAAATTGATAAAAAGTGATAATAAAAACTTATATTGTAAGAAAATATTTCTATTTTAAATAAATGCTGTTCTTTTTAGCTTTATTCATCAAATAATCCTGAAAGAAAGTATCACAGGTTCCAAAAAAATATTAAGCAGCACAAAAGTTTCCAACATTGATAAATCAGCATATTAGAATGATTTCTGAAGGATCATGTGACACTGAAGACTGGAGTAATGATGCTGATCAAAAATTCAATTTTTCATCACAGGAATAAATTATATTTTAAAGTATTAAAATAGAAAGCCATTATTTCAAATTGCAATAATATTTTACAATATTACTGTTTTTTCTGTATTTCTGATCAAATAAATGCAGCCATGATGAGCAGAACAGACTTCTTTAAAAAAAACATTACAAATCTTACTGATCCCAAACTTTTGAACGGCAGTGTATATATGCATATTAAACAATGCAGGGATTTCAAATGCAAAAGAATGAAAACTTCAGTGTTTATTGTGCTTACATGAGCAGATCAGGGCTGTAGATGTGTGAATATGTGTTCATGCACTCATCAGTCTCAATGTCCTCTGGTGAATTATTGACCAGCTGAGGTTTCTCTGCCATGATCCTTCTAAATAACCACATAAAGACATGAAAACCACCAAAAGGTCATTTGCATGCAAAAAGTCAACTTTTGCTTACATCGCAATAGCAAATGAGAGTCGGGCAACTAAAAATCCACATCTACTAAAAGTATTAGATTTGTGATTTTGAAACCTCTCCCATAACTCTTTGTTTTTGCAATGCGACAAGCGAGAAACAAATCCAAACAAATCGTGAAATAAAGTTCATAGTTACTTTACCCAAAATGAGAATCCGTTTGCACATGCGACCCGCTCCCGCGTAATTAATGAAGTTTATGCAACAGCTGTTTTCATTTTGCACGATGGACTTCTGTACCTGGCGATATGCGTGACGTCAAACGAACGAGCGCACGTATAGCATTATGGGAAATGTAGTCCGCTTTTACTAGCGCTAGCAGCGATGCCGAGTGTAAAAGTTACATATCATTTTATTTGAACGTAATGAAGTTTATGCAACAGTTGTTTTCATTTTGCACGATGGACTTCTGTACCTGGCGATATGCGTGACGTCAAACGAACGATCGCACGTATAGCATTATGGGAAATGTAGTCCGCTTTTACTAGCGCTAGCAGCGATGCCGAGTGTAAAAGTTACATATCATTTTATTTGAACGTAATGACAAAAACTGTTCACATTATAAATAATAAATAAACAAAAAAGCTCTGAGAAAGTTATCGATTAATAATAAAACATAGCGTATGTTTCTGAGACCTCCAAAAAAGAAAAGTACTGACTGCATCAGAATGATTAGCACTTTGGTATTTACATCAGTCAAAGACATTTCAGAGAACACCAACTTTTTGGTGTTTTTTTTTATTAGTGAACAGTGTTGGGGGTAACGCACCACGAGTTACATAATCAGATTACACTTTTCAAGTAACTAGTAAAGTAACGCATTACTTTTACATTTTCAATAAAATATCTGTTACTTTCTCAAATAAGTAACGCCAGTTGTCTGCGCTGTGTTCTAGACTAAATGTGAAAATTCAAAACTAAACTCAGTTGCACAAAAACATTCAGTATTTCTCAAAATTAGTAAAAACTGTGAAATGCAAACTCAGAATATGTTACATAATTAAATATGTTAAATAACATAAATATCCTTTATGTATTTAATCCCATTTTATTAACCAATGTCTTTGCTGCACTCTCTAGATTTAAAAAAAGTAATGCAAAAGTAATATAAAGCATTACTTTCCATAAAAGATAACTGTTACATTTTTAGTGAGTAAAGCAATATTCTAATGCATTACTTTTAAAAGTAACTTCCCCCAACACTGTTAGTGAAATACTCAAAAATGTTATACACAGGGCAGACCTATCTTGTTATATTTTTAAACGTGTTTAAAAAAAAAAACACAACATAGCCTACTGGTAGATAAAAACCACAGCATTTTATTTGATGTAATGTCAAGTTGTATGTATTCACAATAAGACAATATGACTTCACTATTCATTTGAATTAATTAAAATGTATAAATGACAAATTCATACAAGCACAAAAAAAAAACCAGTTAATTTTTGCTGTTTTGTTCAAAGTTCTGGTCTATCACAGCAACTGCACGACCTGTTTGGCTCTCTGTTTTTTCTTTTCAGCATCAAAAAATGACCGTGAATTTAATGGTAAAAGACTGTAAAAATGCTACAGTAAAAACCTGTTAAATGGTTAACGGTAAATTCCTCTACTATAGTTTTTTTACCGTAAATTTTATGGAATTTTTTTTACAGTGTGTATCTTCCTCTTCTCCTTGTCCTTCCTCAGCTTTCTGCAATGTGATGCCTCGCGACGCTCCACGCAGACCTTCAAGATACGCTAGCAACACCTTGAAATGATCGTCAGACACCTGAAATAGAGAGAGAAACGCATGCATATGCAGTCAAAACAGTTGTAGTAATGATGCTGAAAATTACATTCATCGTTTTGCAAATCTTCATAATGGACCCAAACAGAAGCATCATTACTATACTGGATCCCAGCCACATTTCTGCAAAGCTAACGTCTATTTTGTGATGAAACAGCTTCAGTAACATCTCTCAAATGTGCTTTGATCAGGTTATAGGAGCATAACGTGGTCTGTAGACATACTCCTGACGACTCAAGTGCCTGTTGTTGTTCTGAATCCTAAAAACAAAATGTATCAAGGTTTCCCCCAAAAATATGAAGCAGCAACATTGATAATATTACATTTGTTTTGAGCAACAAATCAGCAGATAAGAATGATTTCTGAAGGATCATGTGAACATAAAAGACTTATTTCAAAAACATTAAACAATGTAATTAAACTTATAATATAGCAGCAGAGACGTAACTTTAATCATGCACTTTAACCTAGCCAGCACACCTAAACTAATATTACTAGTTAAGGAAAGTCATCATAATTGCGTTTTAAGTTTCTAGATGTAGGCTATAAAGTACTTAAATTTATTGTCACGTAATCTTAGAATACGCTGCATACGATGACATTTTAACAACATTTGTATTATAACGTACCACTCTAAAATATATATGAAGTGATCAGACAAGCTATTTTCTTCAAAACGCCTAAATATCAAAGCGGAACTATATTTCAGTTAATTGTAGTTGTCCTCCCGGGCAGAGTTTACAGTGGCGCTCGTTATATGACCGGAGAGAATCACGCCTGTTATCAAAGAGTATAGAAGACCAGTCAGCATAAGTTCTTTGCTGTTATGAAGAAACCCTCAAGATGTCACAAGTCTGCATGCATTTATCACGGTTTTCTTTAGGCCACAATGTTTTTACACGCCGAAGTCATGCGAATATAAGGCAAGTGAATATTTTTTCCTTGTATAGATTATTAAATAACCATTATTTACCTCAGTAGAATTTATGCAACCAAATTGCTTTGTATTGTACATTAATTAAAACAAGCCTTTAATGAACTGAAATGGTTTAATTTTTCTTTAAACACTCTAATGATCTCTTAAATTGTCAGCTGACCTTGGCTAGAGGATCTCTGTGTAAATCATATTTTAATTATTGTTTTAGGCAAAAAGCACAGCATTTATTCCTAATATTCTGTAATGTTATTTATGGCATTTTAAAAGTAATGTTTCATTACATTTTTATCTCTGTAGACCATGTGTCACAAGGATGCTGTCCATGACATCACAGCTTAATGCAAAGCCCAGAAAACCTCCAGATGATGATAATGAAGCATCCAAACCCATCCAGTTCTCAACCAGCAAAGCCAGCCACCGAACCTGGAAAGTGGACCGTTCGATGGGCAGCACTTACCAGCAGCCCTGGTGGAAAGTTCTGCCCATCAGCATCATTGGAGTGGGCTTCATCATCTGGTGTATGTTCAGGAGAGAGAGCGAGATAGACGGGTCTCTGGAGAAAAACCTCTATGAACATTTACCAGGACTGCTGGCCGATGAAGAGCAGGAGGAAGTCGGCATCAAAAACAAACCCTCATAGTGGCTTAAAAGGGACATTTTCGATTTGGAATGTTTATTTGTTGTTCAGAAGTAAAATGTTTTCTCCAAGCTGAGAATCATCAAATCGACCGTCCACATTCTGTGCTCTTGAAAGTGTTTGTATTGAACTGGATCATCTGTAGCTGGGTTTAAACCGAAGACTGTAAAAGTCAGCTGCATTGTATTGAAAGCATAATGGAGAAACTTCTGAATTGTAATTTTGGGGTGACTGCTAGTTTATAAATAATGTAATCAGGGAACCATTATTGGACATTGAAAGTCAATATTGAGAACATACTTAAGTGGGATACTGATAGTGAGCTGTAAAATAAACTAATTTTAGCATTACATAATCAAAGGGGCATGTAAAAATTATTTACTTGATATGGTTTACAAACCATAGATGGTGAAACTTCTAATTTCTCATTACATTATGCAAGTCAAACTAAAAATAGGTGAAATACTTTGCACTGCTCCTATTAAAAACATGATACGAGATGTGAAAATTAAAGGGTTGCAAAAAGGATTGCTTTTCCTCCTATTGAGAATTTTTTTCTCTTTTATCTATCAACATGCCACTAGCTTTGGTCCTTAGGACCTAGAACGCATTTAATCAAACTTTGTATATATTATCATCAAGTTAGCAAGTCTTTTGTGTTGGAAAGACTCAGTTTACAGCTTAAAGTTAAAACACCGTGGCATCTTAAACCCGACTGAAGACAAAATGAACGGCAAGAAACCTTGAGGTAGTGGAAAGTTTATTTACAACCAAATGGCCACAATAGAAGAGAAACCCAATATAATAATGATAGAAATAAAATGGACACATTCTAACTCATGGAGCATGCAGACTAGGCAGAGGCATATGAAAGTCTAAAATACAAACTTTAAAACCCTGAGGAGCTCCCGGAATGTTCTGACGCTGCCCCCCTACTATCAACTTGAACCACAAGATATCCCTCCCCTACCGTAACTACCAAAAAAAAAAAAAACTACAAAAAATAAACTACACAGGCATTTATAGTCAAGAGTGTAAGAACCCTGATGCCCCTCCCACCCAACCCTCCCACACATCAAACCCCACCCCCATATATTCCTCCACACAAAAAAAGTCGTGTAAATAGTAAAGAGAGTTTAAGCGCGCTCTCCACGGATTCGACGGGCCAACTGGATGTCTTTGGGCATAATGGTGACACGTTTGGCGTGGATGGCACACAAGTTGGTGTCCTCGAACAGACCCACCAGGTATGCTTCGCTTGCCTCCTACAAATCAGAGCGAGAAAACGTCATCACGAGCGACCAAACAAAGTGTAGTAGCTCTATACACAACCCAGAACTAGAAAACACACCTGCAAGGCGCCAATAGCAGCACTCTGGAAACGCAAGTCGGTCTTGAAATCTTGAGCGATCTCACGAACCAGACGCTGGAAAGGAAGCTTGCGGATCAGCAACTCCGTGGACTTCTGGTACCGACGGATCTCACGAAGAGCCACAGTTCCAGGGCTGAAGGGGAAAGAAGCAGAAAATGACAAATTATTGACTTGTTATTGGGACAATGCATGAAATTCACTGAATAGGAAGTAAATCATGTATATAACATTATATTGTGCATATACTAAATAGATATAAAACTGTCACTTTGGGTATATACACTGAATATAAATACACAATGTATATACACACACGTATATAAAATATTCAGTATACACAATAAAAATATATACATAATATAGCATCTACAATATTCAGCATATACACTATATAACGCTCATATTGTGTATATACTGAATATAAAATACACAAATTTGTATATTCAGCATACACAATTTCATATTTTATATACATATATATATATAAAATATTTTAAC